CATCAAACATCCAAATTAAGATCAGAGGTTACCCATTTTCATTTCCCTCTTTGAATTAAGCCTAAATGTTAATTAAGGCTAAATTTCCAAAATTACATATTTGCCCTTAAGGCTCTAACACATCATAATTTGTCAAATTCAATTTAAACGACTTTGAAATTTTTATCCTACCTCATTCATAGATCAATTAAGACATCAGAGGAGAAAATGTGATTTTTCAAAATTTAATTTATTTATATAATTATTTTCATGCAAAATATTGGATTTTACAAGGAAAATTCCTAAATTTACCAAGGTAACTCCTAATCCCTTCAAAATTTTTACTGGAGGTAGAATTAAACTAGAGAAGTCTTTGGACCACATTTCCTGATTTTTTGAATTGTATTTGAATTTTAAGAATTATTTTAAGTTCTGGGGTATTTATTAAGTATAAAATATTTTAAATGGGGAAAATTAAGTTTTGTATTTTTGAAAAGTTTCTCTGAGGTCAGAGAACCCAAAGAGGAATATTTAATTTTTTTCTAAATTTTATTTGATTTATTGGGATTATTTTTGTGAAAACTCATTTTTAGCCTTTTAAAATTTATTTTTAAACTTTGATATTCAATATCTTTATTTAGAAAACCAGGAAAAATATTATAATTATTCTTAAGTGATTAGAAATCAATTTAGAACACTTCCATGAGTTTTATTATTTTTGTGATCTTTAGGGATTTTTAATTATTTAAATATTAAAAATAGGCTAAAAATCAAGTTTTTATTTTAAATATAATTTTATATTTAGAAAATACCCCTGATCACAGAGAACTCAAAAAATAAGTTTTCATAAATTTTTTAGTTATATTTTGATTTTAAAAATCCTTTAAATGCCAAAAATGATGTTTATCTTTAAAAACCAACTTAAGTTATCAAATGAACTCAAAATATTTTGAAATTTTTATGGTGAGTTCTCTGGATCATAAATAATAGTGGAGATAAAAAATCAAGTCATTTAAATGTTTATATCTTTCAAAATTAATTTCCTTAATGATTTAGAGCTTCTGAAAATTAAGTACATTTTAAATGACTTGACCCATGGAATTATTTCCAAAAGCTCCTCTGGTCATGGTGGATATTCCAAAATTTTCTTGGATTTTTCTAATCAACATGATAATTTCCATATGGGCCCTCATAATTTCCATGATTATTTTAAGCAAATAATGCACAGACTTGAAAAATGTGATCCTCTGTCTAGAGACCTCCTCTGACTTTGAAAAATCAGAGAATGTTCTTC